AGCGACACAATAGTGTTGGTGACAGACGTGCCGATATTGGCGCCCATCACGATCGGTATGGCCTCCCGTACTTTGATTACTAAAAGTTCGTGTCATTACTAATGAGGCGATCGCCTCACAAATGAGATCACTTACAATGGGAGCCAACCATTGTTACGACTATCGATGTCGAGGTGGACGACGACTGCACCAGAACTGTGACCAGAACGCCAATCATGAGCCCCACCACTGGATTCTTCAGCAGATCGCTGTCCGATATTATTCTTCCGGCGGCGCGACTGCCCACCAAACGAAAGGCTGAGCTCAAGAAGTCCAGCGAACAGATGAAGAAGTATAAGAGCATCACAAGTGCCATAATCTTCGCCACAGTAGTGGCTATTCTCTTCGCTTTGTCCGTACCATTCATTTCTGTTAAATACACCGAAACAGGTGTCAGAATATTATGTGTTCACCAGAACTGCATAGACGGGACGGGAGGACAGGTATTGTTTCCTCGCGATATGTATACCACATCATACCAGAGGCTAATGACTCTCGCAATCACTCTTTCATTAAATAACTTTCATTTCGTATCATGGGCTCCGTTCCCGGCGTGAACGCCGCCGACATCTCGAAAGCCATTGATTTTCTGGCGAATGAGGGACACATCTTCAGCACCACCGATGAGGACACCTTCAAGTCGACCGACGCTTAATCCGATTCACGTGATAATCATTTCATTGGCTTTTATTATGTAATTCAGAGAAACAGTTATTTTGTAGTAAATGATAATTTGTATAAAACTTTTCTGATTCCTTGAATTCAACGATTGTTTTCTCATTGGTCTATAAATGTGTGAAATTTTATGATTCAAACACTGTTTTTGTGTTTATTTAATAATTATATGGAAGAGAGTATTGAATGTTAGCATTAGTTTTGTGCCAAAACAGAGGTACTGAAAGACCACTCAAATGAATAGTAATTTCCTATTGAATGAAACGCAAGAAAATGATTGCATTCATGAATAGTAATCGCAATTTCAATTTATGTCTCCAATTCTCAATTGAAACCACTTTTGGACGACTGACTAATTGTGACTAAACTAGCATTTAGAAAAAGCGAGAGCACCGGGAGGTATTGGCATCGGAATTGCTGCCAAACAGGTTTGATTGCAATCTGAAAACGTGTTCATAAATCCTAAAAGTGTTAAGTAATGTAAATGAACGTGAAATTCATTGTAAGGTGTTTTTTGGGTAAAGAATATTCAACACAAGAGTTCGCTATCGAAGGGCAATGGATGTGGTTTGGGATGAAAGGGAATGGGATGTCTGGGCTCACGTGCGCTATGATTGGCTATAAATAGGGCTGATGTGAAGGCGTGTGTCACACGTAATGGCCTACGTATGCGAGCATGCATTGAGTGCATGACATACCAGTGCCTGTGCTGTCAGTGCATTGGGTCAGACAGAGGTAGTGCACAATATTAGCGCATATATTAGACACAGTATTATATTGAGTGCAGTTTCCAGTACAGAACCAGTCGTCGTATGTCTGAAGTCTGGCACCACATCCCTTATCCTTACATCACTGACGGTGACTGTGTCTCACATTTTGTCTCGATATCCCTGAAAGACTAGTTCTCCGGTTTAAGTCCGAGCAGAGTTATTGTCTCTAAAGTTGTGTTCAATTGGTTTCAAGAATAGACACAGAATCGCAAGAATATGGGAATCAATAAGAATAAGGTATGTATTGATCCGTAAGAATAGTGTAGACGTAATGCTAACGCCGACTGATCGCACGGTTAGAGCGATTTGAGCGACTCCTTGGACTGTAGTCCCCAACACGACAACCTCGTTGTGGTCGATATGATGACCCCGTGGTGTCCCAACCCTAAGATCCAAACAGGTATCACATTGTTTGCCATTTATTTATAATCAATATCATTGCGAGTCTTTTAAATGCCGGCGATTTATGTCATGAATATTCTTGTGTTTAATATATTCACGAATCATAACACATTCTGTTTACTCTATTTTCACTCGATTTAAGCTATTCTTGAGAATTCTGTGGTAAGAATTGCCAGAATTCGTTATTATTCTGTAGTTTTTGTTTATTTGTTTAATATTTAAGACAATATTATCGGATTTGACTGTATTTACAATGAGTCCAATGCTTACAAAACGTGTTTCACTACAGAATTCATTTTATGAGCACATAAATGATTAATACTTGTTTGTAATTATATTGAATATATTGTTGGCTAAGAATTTGAAATTCTTATATGACTTGCATTTATAATGACAATGTCATAATTATTACTATTTTTGATTTAGTTCTTTACATTATATACATTATATTTTAGTACAACTAATCATTGGATTACTAAAAATAATGTTTTCTTAATTTATTCGAGAAATTTATTTTTTAAAATAAATTTAAAGCCAGAAATATCTATAAATATTAATATAATTAATATTTAGTTGAATTTTATTTTAATTTAATTGATTTTTAATACTATGAGTATTTCGATGAAAACCGGAATTCATTTCCGATTCTCTCGTTGTTTTTATAACCAAAACCTTTCATATTTATACTATTTGTCTATATTAGTGGTGAATCGATCCATTCATACTTTATTTAAAGAATTTTCAGAATTGACAAACACGGAAAACATTCAGATATAGCATATTATTCACAATATTTGCTCTTTTAAATTATTTATATTTACAATATTTATTTGAATACTCCTTTGAAAACTCCATAACTTTTGTTTTTTTATTAAACTTCTTATTTAGTACGAGAATTAATGTGGGTTTGGGTTAATTCATTTTATTGTATACCAATACTGTTTTAGTAATTGATTACAATTTTTATATAAAGTGCTTTCCGTTACACATAAATCAATAAAATTATTGAAACTATTAGACCACTAATCCAATATTGTATTCAATTGTATTGCTTTTATATTCTTCAAGTGTTTGGATAAAATTATAGCTTTTATTAAACACAATAAGTTAGTTATCAATGAATGAATGAATTGTTTATTTTAGAAAGTGTTTCTTTAGAGAAGTTTTAATCTAGTATTCACTGTATTTAAGACTATTTTAGTTGTAATTTGAAACACGAATTAATGTTAAGGTATTACAAAACCCAAGACATGAGAATTGTCGTCAATTTGAGCTCAATTTGCTTCGAGTGTACGAATGCTCTGCTATTTTTGAGATATTAAAATCAAATATCAACTTATGATCTATTTTTGGCTTAACTTATGATTTGATGGATGTTTAAGATAATGCATACAATTTTTGCAGCCATTTAGCACTTATAAGAGATCACGAAATGATATTAATATGACAGAAATGAATCTATTTTTATGATTTACTTATTAATAATTGAATAGTAAAACACGAGTTGATTTGCATATTAGATGTGTTCAGTACATGTATTCCGCGCTCATAGACTCAATGCATTTTTTATTGCAATGAGCAGATCATTGCATATGAGATAGACTTTCTAACATTAATAACATTAATAGTTAGACAAAATGTAAGCCGATATTCACGACTAGAATTGGATTCCGGGTTCTAAATGACTTCAATTACATGATAACATATGAGCCTTGATTAGCGCTTAACAATGACTTTTTAAATTTTTGTTATTAAAATAATCAAATGAAATAATTAAGCATAATATTTTTAGAGAGCTATTAGCATTTTAGCTAGCATACTCCATTAAAGTATTGATTAACATTTGAAAATAGCTTATATTTTTAATTGTTATATTGTTATAAATATTCTTTCATTTATAAAAAATTCTATTATTATCTCAAATGTGCCCTTAAATTAAACTTTTTATAGTAGTGTTTGACTAAGTAATTAATGTTTTACGGCAGACTTACAGACATTTATTCACGAAAGGGGTGAGAATTAAAAAATAAAATGTTAGCAAAAAAATATAAGATGATCTCAAAGAAATAATTATGACAATTTTTTTGGCAAATTATTCAAAATAATATAGTTTTGCAAAAAATATTTAAATTTCAAAAGTACATCAGAATTGGAAAACATAAATATTTGTTGAAAAATACTTGGAAACTAAAAATAAAAAATGTAGTAATAATTGTCAAAAGGAAACATAATTTGAATAATAATAATAATAATATGAAGCTATGATGTAATATGAATATGAAATTCATATAACGTTTAGTAGAGTTGGGAAACGCTTTTTTGACCAAAACATTAGACAGAGTCTGATAACCGCATAATTAAAGTATAATAAAACACGAAATGAAAGTTATTTAATGAAAGAGTGATTGCGAGAGTCATTAGCCTCTGGTATGATGTGGTATACATATCGCGAGGAAACAATACCTGTCCTCCCGTCCCGTCTATGCAGTTCTGGTGAACACACAATATTCTGACACCTGTTTCGGTGTATTTAACAGAAATGAATGGTACGGACAAAGCGAAGAGAATAGCCACTACTGTGGCGAAGATTATGGCACTTGTGATGCTGTTATACTTCTTCATCTGTTCGCTGGACTTCTTGAGCTCAGCGTTTCGTTTGGTGGGCAGTCGCGCGGCCGGAAGAATAATATCGGACAGCGATCTGCTGAAGAATCCAGTGGTGGGGCTCATGATTGGCGTTCTCGTGACAGTTCTGGTGCAGTCGTCGTCCACCTCGACATCGATAGTCGTAACAATGGTTGGCTCCCATTGTAAGTGACAGAGTAAACACTCCGCTAGCGGAGTAATCATTACTGTGCTTGAAAATCATTAGTTTCATGCCCTCCGGTATGGCTAGCACTACCCGCGGTTATAGCCGTGCAGACAGTGGTTGTGATAACACAGCGACATGCAGGCGACCGACCGAAACGAGTTCCGTCTGGCCTTCGCCGCCGCCAGGCAAGTACTATACAAGTTAACCGAGTGTCAATAGCAGGAGAACGGGTAGCTTCACTGGTGAGTAATGAATCTCTGGTAGTGACTACACGAGTAACTTCCGCTGACCGTTTCCCTATGGAGTCGGTTCACCGAATTCTTGGGCCGCCTAACCAAACCGTTCACTAGACTAATAATTGAGGTATTCTTTCAATACAAACTTCACATCTCATCCCTAAACTAAACTAAAACAAAATGTGCACAATTTGTGGTCATTTTCTTATTTGTCAGTACAATGTGTTCTATTAAGCATAACTATTCTCAATTATTCATCGACTCATTTAAGTTACAAAGTCTTAACGTTTTAGAGAATAATTTAATAAGTCATTCAATTTATTATTTGCAACTTTTTATATATTGTTTTCTATTACTGTCAATACCTCATAGACTTTTATTGTGCAGTACTTTGTATGTGTATTGCAAACAATTAGCAATATCTTTCATCAGACCATTAATCGCGAAGTATAGAAGTTTTAAAGCCAACAACAAACTAATGTAATATACTGTATATACTTTATATGTATAACTGTATAGGATAGGGGATGATACATGACTTCAGTATCTTATATATCGTAATATATCTAAGAACTATTTACGTATATGAAATCTCTTCGCATATTATTTACCATCTTATCACATATTCATATATTCATAACGTACTTATGCTGCAATGCGCCTGAAATGACGGATACGTCAGCTCTTCGCTACTTTTATACGGTTTTACTGTATTTCATAGACTAGTCGTACAGACATTCTGTATATAAGTATTGATTTCTTGAGTAACAATCAGCTCATACTATAGTAGACATCCTGTACTGTATTTCGACAACACGTGAACACTCTATGTCTCACTTATGCTCCAAATTCTGAGCCAGTGAACGTAATGTAGTCCAAAACTGAGAAAATGACTAAATCACCGGAGATACTCCCAGACGGTTTCTATATACCCGACGTGTACTTCACTGATAATTAATTTACTTTCCTTTCGGTTAACCTTAATCGTAAGAATTTTTGCTAGCTTATATAAATCACTTGTAATATACTGTATAATAATACTTAGCCTTCTTAGTTTTTAATTTAATGCTCAATTATTGGGGTAGAATATTCTGAATATAATTTTTGCATATTTTTAGAAATAATTTCATAATTTATTGCATAACACCTTTCAATAGTAATACCCGAATGGAAAGAATTTTAAAATTGATAATTTAAAAGAATTCATAAATTAATAAATTCTTTACATTTGGAGGACATTCTTACCTTTAGATAACACTTGATGATATGATTGGGATATTCCCTAAGATTTTACATTTATTACATGTATTTAGTACTATTAAACTCTTATCTCTTTTCTATCAAAGGTCAAGTATTTTATAGTAAATTGACCAAAAGTCCTGTAAGCAGGAGAGTTACTGGAATTGAAACTTTGTTTTTTAAAGACTTGTTAAGTTTGTTTAGTGAGAAAACATATTAATTACTTATTTTAAATGTGTTAAGTTCGTATATTTGAGTCTACGGTATAAATATAAACTGGATCTTAAGATCATAAGCCGTATGCGTCACAAATATTACGGTTTAATCCCTCCTTTTCATGAAATGAGACTTTTCTAAAATATTTATATTAAGTGTTAGCGATGGCCACAGAGATATGCAGTCACTCATCAAAAGTGATATTTTGCGAACAATATTCAATACTTTTAATGTAAATTGGTTTATCATGAGCTATAATGGAAACAGTTCATTTATCAGTTAGCCATATTCACGCTATCCACCAGAATAATTTAGGCAAATTAATCAAATTAATTAATTGATATTTTTGCTAATTGAAAACAATTATGCATTAATTAAGTATATAAACAGTCTATTAGCATATTGAATAACCTATAAATCTAGACTCTACTTTTTTTTAGTTTTTTTAGTTTTTATTTATTTATATGACAGCCAAATAATGGTACAGTATACTGTATAGTAACTTATATCAAATACAGAATTATAAAACATTAATTTAACAATAAAGTTTCTAAATCAATAGACTATTGACAATAGTACTCTACATACTATTTATACCGCATAATACATTAAATAACAATTATTTAAAAAGTTCTGTGCGAATGAATAATATGCTGATAAAGTTTTTTGTGACATTTTTTTAGTTAAAGAACTTTCGTATTATACAGTATTTATATGTTCAATGTTATTTGAACTCAAAGTTTAAATGTTAGGCGAAACTGATTATTGTATTACATTTATTATATTGATTACATAATTTAATGATTAATATTGTGTTTTTATTTCGTATGTAAAGCTGGATAAGAAAGTTTTGGACCAAATAGCGAGTGGTCACGACTCGAGTAATGTCACACAATCTCTCATTAAAAAAGGTCTGTTTTTCAATGCCATTGCCATAACTTGATGAATAGATAGTCTATAATTGAACGTTAATTACTCTAAATGAGAGTATATTTGAAAACTATAATGAATGAAAGGTATAAAACATACTAAAGATAGGACTAATTTGCAGGCAATTCACTCTTTTACCAACTGAATCTGAGTGACTCTATTACTGGTGTTGTATTACTGGCCCTTTCACTGGTGGTTCTGTGCGGTTGTCTCGTCTTAATGGTTAAATTGCTTCACTCTATGCTTAAGTAAGTTGAAGGCATTTCTAGTGAAACACATAAAAAAGGCAATGGAAATGAAAATAACTTGAAATATGCATTTTAGGGGACAGATAGCAATCGTCATAAAGAAGACAATGAATAGAGACTATCAGTTCCCGTATTCAATATTAGTCAACTATTTGGCAATACTTGTCGGATGTATTCTCACTATTTTAGTGCAAAGTAGTTCAATATTCACTTCAGCGCTCACCCCATTGGCTGGCATTGGAGTGATATCTTTAGAAAGGATGTATCCCTTGACTCTGGGATCTAATATTGGCACCACTACTACAGGTCTGATGCTATATCTATTTAAATGCATAACACTTTCTGCAATTAAAACCATTTTCAAAAATCATAAAACATTTCAAACGGGAATATGTTTTTCACAATATTTCTATGATATTCTCGATGACAGGCATTTTGGCGGCTCTGGCGGCCGACTCGAGCAGTTTGAAGAGCACTCTTCAACTGGCATTCTGTCACCTATTCTTCAATATCTCTGGTATTCTCATCTTTTATCCGATTCCGTGGATGCGATGGCCGATAGGCTTGGCCCGCATGTTGGGCAACATAACAGCCAAATACCGGTGGTTTAGTGTCTTCTACTTAATATCAATGTTCTTCTTATTGCCGTTAACTGTGTTCTCGCTGTCACTGACCGGCACGTGGGCTCTGGTAGGCATTGGCGGACCGTTTCTATTGGTCTGTTTCATCGTAATTGTGATAAATCTAATACAACACAAGAGACGAAGTCTTTTGCCCCTAAAGTTGCAAAACTGGAATTTTCTGCCGCTTTGGATGCACTCATTGGAACCGATCGACGAAATTATAGCCAAATTAGTGGAGAGGTTCGCGTGTCTGGCCTGTTGTGCGGGCGATCAGTCCCGACACGACGCCGCCGCCCAGTCACGGGAGTTACACCGGTGGTTAGTCAGTGTCGAGGTATAAGACCCGAGAAACTTGTTGAGGTTGTCGTGATGAGTTGAGTTTGTGTAGATGCTCTTACTGCCGATATAGAACGTGACCCTCAGAGTCCGACTCAACCAAGAATTGAATGATAAAGAAGTGACTAATCTTTGATATAGTCATTGAATTTTAGGCTACTTTTTGTACATATTTTATTAAATTATTCGCAAATTAATTCACTGTTTGATTATATATTACATCCAAACAACTCAATATATAATCATATTTTCAATCAAACATCAGTTACATTCAAAAGAATCTCATTTTCACCAAACTTTTTGATATTATTTTAATTAAAATTCTTTTGAATTTTTTTGTTTACTCTTAATATCGTTTAAAGTTGAAACTTAATGAATAATTTTTAAACGTTTAGATTTTAATTTTTCTTAGTTTTTTATTTTAATTTAAGTTATTTTGGTTTTTCGATTCACACAAAGAATTGTAATTAAAATCAATATGTAATTCATTCACGAATACATTTATTCTTGAATACAATCGATGGATATTTTTGCTTAACAATAACTTAAATAATATTTAAGATACATTGAATATTATTCAGATGAAATAATTTTTTACTATAAAATACACTTTTGTAAAAACAAATGATTTGATTCAATAATGTTTGAAAAACAGTTATTCATCTATTCAATTATTGTACAAGAATTTTGGTTTGTTTGCAAATTTGTGTAAATATTTCCAAATTTGTTTTCAACGACTGATTGAATATTTGATGTGTTTTTGCATTACATTCCTATAAACTGTAAAATGAATCAATTTTATTCAGTTTTTGATTTGTCTTCCGTTTAAAATTACTTGAATTGAAATGATTTGAAATAAAAATAAAGTTTTTTTTTGTTAAATACATGTTTACTTCATTTAATGTAATTGCGGTTTAAAATGATTTCTTACAGTAAGTTGATCACGTAATATTTACGAAATAAAGTGACCCGTTATGAAAATCACCAAGGTTCTAATCAATGAGATTGGAATTCATTAAGAATTACACCAATTTTCGAGTTTAACCCATGGTTGCTATTTTATATTTAATGACTAGCAGAATAAAGTTAATTGCCAGTTTAAATTATAAAACTTTAATATAAGGTGGAAATCAATAACAATTAAATCAATTCAAACATATTATTTATTTATTAATAGAATATAATATTAATTATAATAAATCTGAGAACAAATATAATCTCATTATATTAATTTAAACAATTCAATAGAAAATATAAAAATATAATTTTATAACTTTGTGTGCGTGTGTTAATTACATGATTAATTGAAATTTATAACAAATTAATATCATATTATTAAAGGTTAATTAAATTGTATTATCACTTAATTCATAGTTTAATCAACAATTTTAAGGCCATTATAGCGCTTGTTATCGATAGCCGATCGCATCATCGAAAAGGGGGTTATCTTCTCCATGTCAGTCGTTTTGAGGAGTAGTTGCAGCTGTTGTCCGGAGTAACCCGAGAGCAGTGCGGCTCCCAATTCATTGGTTTGGACGGGCGTTGAGGGCGAAGCTCTCAGATTCCAGAAGACAATTGGCGGCAACTTATAGCCTTTCCTCTCAAACCGCTGTTTAGCGGCCTCGAAGTTAGTGAGATCTGCGCCATGAAAAGCAGTGCTAAACTCCATATCCGTGAACACAATCAGCACTTTAGGCAACTGATCGTTCGTCAGGCGCTGTTCCACTGCTTTATTCAGAATCAAATCAAAGACTAGATTTAAATTAGTAGTTCCGCCCCAACTCATGTTCTGAAGGGATCGCAGTTTCTCTATGAAAGTCAGTTTAGGGTCCACCACATGGATGGATGGGCTCTCGTGGAAAGTAATGCACATTGAATTCCACGGCTCTCGCGATAAATACATGACTAGAATAGTGAGACCAATGGCCGCATCCATAGGCGTCCCGTTCATGGATCCGCTCACATCGCACACAGCGATCGCATTATCAAACAGACCTCCGCCTATAGAAAAGACAATACATTAGATTTTCACATCATTTCAAACCAATTCATACAAATCATACCCTTTTTCTTAATGTCCTCACAGAGTGAGAGCCATTGTTTCTCCAGCACTTCCATCTCGAGTTTAAAATTAGGGTCTTCGAGCTCCCCGAGAGTGACCACAGAATACTGATACGCATTGTGCACCATTTCCACGGGCTTTAGGACAGCGCCAGAAATGGTAGTCTTGGAGTTCAAGTACTCTTCAAACCTCGGTTTATCGTGTTTTATAAACAAAGACTTATTCTTTTGCATACATTTGGACGCAACGCGATTGTACCAAATGTCTGACCACTTGTTGGACGCCATATACACCTCAGGAATCTTCAGATATTTGCGAAGAGGAGCGCAGACTTCCTTCTGATAGAAGTCGGACACGAGTTTCGTGTCGCCAATCGGCTCATCCTTTTTCATCCTCCGCCACAACTCTGTGGCAATCGATTGACTTATAGAGAGATACTTATCGAAGTGGTGTCCGTTAGTGGGCGCCCATTTCCCCGCCAGTGATATCGATTTCACATCTCTAGCCATTGCCTCCAAATCGGACACCAATTGATTGGCGAACAGATCCACAACTTCATCAAAAAGAGCGCGGAATTTGTGGTCGCATTCAAAGCGCTTTCGCGCGAAATCTCTTCGCTTTTGTATCAACGCCTGACTTCTGGTGGGAACCGTTTGCACGACCTCTTCATTCTCTGTGTCCAACATCTCCACATCTGATGACTCAGTTGTCTCACCCCCTGAGCCACCCTTCAGCGCCTCCTTAGCCTTCCTTTGCATCTCTTTCCTGCGCTTAAGTTTATCTTTTCGGAGACCCCTTAAGACGAGTCTATCGTATTTGGGAAACGAGTTCTTCGGCTCCCGCGGAGTGGTTCGTCTGCGACCGTCATCTTTGGCCAAATAGTCGGGAATGAAGTCAAAGAGGATAACCATCAGCAGAACGAGCGGATCCTTCCAATAGCCAAAGGCCACCAATTCCTTCATATTAGCCATCAGTGTCTTGAAGTGGCGCGAAAACAGAAATGACAGACACATTTGGTACTGATTTCGGATGCCTTTCCCATTGCGACAGTCCCTCAGATACGCGATCAGCTTCAGTGTGTCCAACGGGTGCTGTTTCCACGACTTCTTCAACAGATCCAGAGTTAGGTCTCTTTTGGCGTCTTCTGTGATGTGGAAGAAGAAGTCGAGTCTGGCGTCGGTTGTGGTCCCAAAAGTGGGCGCTTTGTTCTCAGTTAGCATTCTTCCGGACATCTCTACCACCGATGTCTTCGTCAGTGATAATAGCTATGAAAGTGCGAGTCTTAGTGACTGACTGTATGTCTGTCTGTCGTGTATCTAACGTTCACATAATCACTGGTCTATTGGTTTGCAATGAATGCATGCAATCCTCTGTCAAACACAGTGTCTATTGGTTGCACTCAATGGTGACACCCCTTACAGCTAGTGGTGAATACATTACATTACATTACATTACAATGTAATGATTACATGATTACATGCATGTATTGAACGCATTTTGAACGTTAAACACAATTATTGACTCAAAAACAATCAAAACCGCGACTCAAGCGCTCAACTCGACACTGACTCGTGTTTGGACCTCAAGTTTTAACTTTAAAGGGCCGTTCACTCACTCCCCCCACCAATGAGTGCACGTATTTTGTGAACTCATTGATTGCGTGAATCATATGTTTTGTTGACTGAATGCCTGAATGACATGATGTGTCACTTTCCATCATAGTATGGGTTAACCCATTGGTTGAGCACTGAGTCCACGCATTGTGAACAACTCATGTCAACAACTATTTACTAATCAGTGCTGTCATTGTAATCACCGTTAGATTGGATCCAGTCTTGAGCTGTCATCGCACGCGTCCACACGTGTGCCATGAATTGGACGCAATTGCTGTGATTCACGCCTGAAGTGGTGCGTCACTTGAGTCCCAAATATATAGACCGAAACCAAACCAGAAGTTGATTTTTGTTGACAACAACTCCTTTGGGGAGACATTTCTGCTGCCGAAGACATGTCCACCGAATTGAGTCCAAATGATCGCAAACTTCTGGAGAGTGTTGAGCAGAGCTATCATCAGTTGGCCGCCGAGGCCAAGAAGAAGCACTCGCCCGTCAAAGAGGTAACCATTGATTTCGTGTTGTGTTGACCATAATATTGATGGCGATTGTGTTGTGTCTGAAGGCCTCGGAGTCGGGAATCGTTAAAATCAGAAGTGTTTGCAAACGACAGCCAAACCTGAGGATGGCTTTGATGACGGAAAGCGCGGAGATTATGGAACCGTTTTTCATGGGATGCGATACCAAAGTGTCTAAAATGGTTCAGATCTCACTCAACGCCATCCATAAGCTCATCAACTTTGAGGCCGTGTCTCAGGTCATTGTCTGCACTATAGTTGCAATCATATCACACAAACATCTATCTGATAAAATAAGCTTGCACCTTTTTGACAAATGCACTTTACTAAATAAATAGGCTTTCAAATGCAAACTTAGTTAAGGATTAAATATAGGAATACAATACCATTTGCACTCATTTTATTGCAATTAAAATGTAATTTACTGTCTCATAGACTGCGGCAAATAATCTGTTGAACTGTTTGTGGAATTTGATGGAAAGTGGTGTCGAAGAGCTAAGACTTTTACAAACCATCACTTTATTGATCACAACAAACAGTTTAGTTAAGAGCGAGAGTTTGGCGAAAGCGCTGTCCCTATGCTTTCGGCTTCACTTCACAAAGAACTCGACCACTAATAACACGGCGTCGGCTACTATTAGACAACTGGTGTCCGCTGTCTTCGAAAGGGTCCAAACCGAAGACCAAATACCAGCAGAATGTGAGTCATTATTCACTTTCTATGATTTCGTTGAAACCAATTGTATATTTTGTTTGACAGCCAACGAAGTCCACGACATTAAGTTTGATGACATAAAGACTGGCAAATATACGCCCACTTCCTTACGACCGGCCGCTTCGGACGCCTTTTTCTTTTTCCAAGTATTCAAACGATTGAAATATTTCTTGTGTAGTGTTTTGAATGCCATTTAATTGAATACATTAAGGATTTGGTGCAATTGGTTAACGCGGAGCAACCCTTTTGGTTGACAGGCCTCACAGAAATGACCCGAACTTTTGGTTTAGAATTATTAGAACTGATATTCTCTGCATTTCCTGATGTTTTCTATAAGGTTTGCATTTATTCTACTAATGAATGAATAGTTCAATGAATTAATGCCTTAATGTTTGGCCCAAAGCACGAAGAATTCAGTTTTCTATTGAAAGAAAGAGTTTGTCAATTAGTCATTAAGTTATTCTCTCCAAACACTAAACTCCGGACACAAACTATAAATTTGCAAACAAACTCATTGCAAACGGCGGACAAACCCTTTTGGCCCATAACTGTGCGCCTCTTAAGAATCGTCTCCGTTTTGATTCAGAAATTCTATACAATGCTTGTATGTATTGATAATTGTGTTGAATTTAAAGAATTAATACTAAATCTACTCATTTGTTTGTAGATAACTGAAAGTGAAATATTTTTGTCACTTTTAATCAAATCTCTTGAACCGGACAAACCTATTTGGCAACGTATGCATGACTTCTCTCATGTATTTCCTATTGATATACTAAACTATATTTCTATTGCAATTCAGGTTCAATGGCTTTAGAGGCGTTGTACCGAATGATTCAACCGAATCTTATTAGGTATAGATTATAGCAAATTCTGTTCATAAAATGATTATTTGAAATTAATATATATCTATATCTTAATTAAAAACAGCTGTTTGTGTCGTTTCTATGATATGAAGGTAAGAATCTTGTCTTTAAATTTGAATATAAAATATTTTCTAAACTACTGTATTGTGTGACAGCCGCACAGTTCAAAGATATTCCGAGATATAGTGAACGCGTTGTGTATTTACATAAAATCTCAGTTTCTATTCGTGGACTCATCCACCACACAAAGTCTGATCGCATCCATTGTCAATAATAACAATAACTCGAACCCAAGTGTTGTCACCTCTTCTAACTCATCCATGAACTCGTCCCTCAATTCGATGTCAAACAACAATAGCGTGACCCCGGCTTTCCTTCTACGAGGAGTTTATATACCATTGCTTTTCAATACAACTAAAATTAAATACAAGCCCTTCTTCATCGAACAATTGGACAAATTAGAGGCCCCGACAGCACCCGAAGGGCACGGCCTCTCCTCAGCCTTTGCCTGCGTTTTAGAGATAGTCGAGAGCTTAACAAATGTTATTGAATCTGATTTGCAAAGCAATTGCAATGAAATCAATGAACACATCGAAGCCGTTCATAATTTCAGTGAAGAGACGCGACTTCTTCACGAGAATCTACTCAACGCGTCGTTAGTTTTGATTTGATTTACTTTTGAAACTTAAATAATAAGTGAAATCCTTTCAGTTGCTGTGGAATTTTGGGCGCATTTTCGCTATTACTCGACGCCTCTACTGATGAGTCGGTGACTGAATTGATTTTGAGTAAAATGAAAACATTGGGTAAAAATTATTAATGATTTGTTTTTCAATAAACTATATTTATTCCAAATGTTTTACAGCCGGTCTCTACGGTATCTATGAGTTAGATGAGGCCAGGGATGCAACCCTGACATCCATTTGCAAGTCGTCTTTACCCCCGAATTATAGTCTTTCTGTATTAAACTTAAGTCAAACGTCGGAAAACAACTCGAAGTCTATTAGTCGTACAACAAGTTTAGATAAAAGCGATTCAATTAATATAACGAATTTGATTTCACAACAAAATTCTCACAACACTTCCGGTGCTTCTTATTTGGGTACTAATGAGTCCAGTGAAACCAGACAACAGGTGATTGCTGTGGGAACGCCACTGCCCACACCATCTCTGCCACAAAATGCACAACAGGGACCTGTTCTGGTCAGTCATTTAGAAACTTATAATAAAATTTTTAATTAACAAAATTTTCTACAATTCTTATGTTTAGTTGACATCAAAGAACCTTCAGTGCATGAATGGTATGTACTTTTAGATATAGATTGATTGCAAGGCGAACCGATTTAATGTGAATATTCATACGATTTGATAGCAATCCTAAACGTAGCCAATAGTCACGGTTCGGTGTTGAATGAGAAGTCGTGGCATATAATCCTAACAACTTTACAACATTTGGTTTGGATATTGGGTTTAAAACCCACAAATGGTGGATCTCTTAAGATTGGTCGGGCGGGTACAGAGGCCGGCGCCTCCACTAATGCTTTAATTACAACGGCCGCAATGTCTGACCTACCGGTACTGTCGACAATGCTCTCCCGTTTGTTCGAGTCCTCGCAGTGAGTATTACTTGCATGGAATGGATATGTAGTTAAATGTCTGTTTTGATAGCTATTTATATTAATAACTGTTAATTGTCTTTAAACCCTATCCATTCCCTATCGCTCTGTCAGCTATGCTTCTGTAGGCGATCTGTTGTCTCAGGTCTTTCAAAGTTCGCAGTAAGTGCTGAACGCTATTAATTGGGGCTCAAAACCATTCACATTAACAAACATAACAATGCCTTTTGTTTTTGTCACTAATTTTTTGTGTCAATTATTTATACATTTGATTAATTTATAAATTTAATTGAAAGGCATTTAAAAACTGAATCGCTGTTACATTTGGTGAACGCATTGGTCAAACTTTCTCAGGAGTCAATGGATATTGCATACAATAATCGGGAGCCATCTCTGGTTAGTGTTAATTATAATCTTACTAATTATTGTCTCAGAAATTACATTTAAAATATTTATTGGGTTAGTTTGCAATCGCAAAGTTGTTGGAGACGGCAATCGTTAACTTACACCGAATTGACATCATTTGGAAACAACTCACTTCTCACTTCTTAGAAGGTTTTTATAAATAAATTCTTGTCGTAACATTGTTTTAAGTGTAAATGATTTGAATCAAACAGTTTGCAGTCATCCGCACATAAAAATGCGTGAATGGGGTGTCGAAGCCCTCTGTAATTTAGGTAACTATTACTGAAATATGCTTTTGTAGCCAACTTTTTAATGATTTAATAATGAATAAAGTGAAGTCAACGTTATCTCAAACACAATCGGATGAAAAGCCCGAAACGGAAGCAGATAACACTGAAACTACCGGAACAGTGAAGCAGTTTATGTTTTTGTCTCCACTCCAAGAGCTGTCATATATCAGTCATCCAGATATACGACAAAAGCAATTGGATTGTGTTCTTCAGATTCTTCAGTCCAATGGCGATGTATTGAATTACGGCTGGAATCAGATTATTGAGATCGTCGGCGCTATCAATGAAACGCAAAACGAGAATCTGATTCGTCTGGCCTTCCAATGTCTTCAGCTAATTAATGCCGACTTCTTGGCGATGATTCCATCCAATTGTCTGGTGCTCTGTGTGGACACGACCGCCAAATTTGGTTCACAGATCCAAGAGTTGAACGCATCGCTCACTGCCATCGGCTTACTCTGGAATATCGCAGACTTTTTGCATTCAAATCAAAATAAGATAAAAAGTATTTTTGAACAAAACCCTAAACCAGATTTGAGTGAAACGGACAAAAATAGTGTCACTAATGAATCAAATTCTTTCGACTCCTTATGGATGGCTTTGTTCACACGTTTGGGGTAATCAACGAATTGAAAAGATTTGCTTAAAATATGATTTATTAACTGTTTTTGTGTTTATTTATTCAGTGATTTATGTATAGACTCGCGAGCGTCTGTTCGCAAGAGCTCTGCCCAGACTTTATTCGCCACCCTTTCCACTCACGGAACTATATTAGAGGCGAGCACTTGGAAGTCAGTTCTTTGGGACGTCTTGTTTCCACTATTAGATCGCGTCAAAGCACTGGCTAACGCTGCCTCCAGTGATAAGATAACTGATAGTAAAGCCATGGGAAGTGGCGGTTCCAATATAATTATACATCACTCCAGAAACACTGCTCAAAAACAATGGTCTGAAACACAAGTGTTGGTGCTGTCGGGTGTCTCACGTATATTAAGCATAAAACTTGATTTATTGGTTAATATGGATGACTTCTACAAGACATGGACTTTATTGCTTGGGTTTATAGAGTCATCGGCTCTTAACCAGAACAGTGAGGTCTCACTCTCTGCCCTCAAATGCTTTCAAGAGATTTTATGTTTGACTAAATGCGCCAATAATGACAATAATTCAAACAATTGTCAAAACCTATGGGACGCCGCATGGAATTCATGGTAATTGTGTCCAAATTGATTGAAATGAATGAAATGTTTAATGACTTGTATATCAGGTATAAAATCGGATCTAAAACGACTGAATTAAAAGACATCTCAACAGAAACATCAGACATTGTAAATAAAAACATAGACATGACATCAGTTTATGTGCCGTCGCAAGCATTCTTGACTTCACTCATTCAGATATTTCCCTATTTATTCATCCATATAAAGCATAAATTTTCTGAAAGGTTTGTCAAACTCTTTACATAATCTGTCGGATAATTAGCTAAATAATAGATTATTTGGTGAATTTGCAGTGATTTCCATAAGTTATCAGAAGTATTGCAAAACACATTATCTGTGCCATTAATAAACTCTGACGCGAGTCTGCCGTACATGTTGTCTCTTTCGATGGCCGAGCCGTTGACTCCTTTGCAGGAAAACATACTCTTTGTTGTGGAAACTCTGCAAAAAGAGATTCTCGTGGATCCAGATCTCCATCCTCTGCTGCCATCCATTTTCCACCAATATTTAGCTCTATCTTGTTATGCCGTCAATATTAGTGAGTTCTCACAAATGTTTCCATTAAAACTAATCTCTAATAAACTATTTTTAAACTTTCAGTTCCGCCACATTTACCGATATTTAATAAAACACCGATCACTCCACAATTGATTTCTGTGAGTACTAATTAATTAAAAAAACAACTTATCCATTGAATTCATGAGACATCATTTGAATGATAGGCTGAAATATCGGCTCTTAATTCTAATACTTACACCTCATTGGGTGAGAGGGCTCTCAAGAATGCTCTGTCGCTCTATCAGAAGACGGCCAACGAAACGATTGTCATTAAGTCTAATATTCTTCACTCCATTATTAAGGTTTGCGTTATTGTTACCGTATAATGAATGGCATACATGAGGAATTTATACCGTAATTGTTATTTCATTGAATATAGACATTGAAAATATCATTGTGTTTGAAATATTCGTGTCCATCACAAACCACTTGGAAGCTGGGCGTCAATACGCTGTTGACAGCACTGCAAATCGGACTTCCGATCGCACGAATCAATTGTATGATTTAAAAGTTTATTATTGTTTACAGAATATTCTTTACTATTAATACCGTTGCGTCGATAGCGTCCGACTTTATAGGGATTTGGGCTGATCTTGCGCTATGTTTCGATGGCTTCCTGTTCCCGGTCTCAAAGCCGGCGTCCACTCAGACCCTAGAAGAGCAACAATTTGATGAATCACTTGATGTTAAAATTGTTGAACTAATTCGCGACTCAATTATGCCATTTGCCGCTCAGATTCCGCAGGAGTTTGTTCTGCAAATTGTATCGCTTCTCAATAAGGGATCAATACATTCGGCGACCAATAGTTCACCCGTCGGTCAGTTGTTGTCACTTAAAATGTTTGTCATTTAATTTATTTAAGGATTTAATTTCATTGAAAGATACAGAAACGACGCGAAAACTACGCGAAGACTTCGCGCGGACATGTTTTGAGACATTACTTCAGTTCTCGTTTTTGTCCCCAAAGGGAAATCCGGGTCTTTTCATACAGTCGTCGGGCAATGATTTAATTCCCGACCACAGCATCGGAATCGTGAACAAATTAGCGGTCACTTCAATCCTTCAGCGATTTAATGAAGTGGTCATCAAATACGTTGAGGACGAGAGACTATGTCCCTGTCCTCTACCCCGGCATCGAATGGGAGAAATCTCTTTCGTATTGAAAGCATTGGCGACACTCATAATCTCCCTTAAGAAGGCACCGGTCGGTAGTGTGGAGCCGCATGTGTGGGATCTACTAATCCGTCTGTACCCGCATATAGTCGACTGTACGACCTCTAACTCAGTTCAGGTGAATCGATCACTTCGGGAGGTATTGCATCAGTACTCAGACCTATTGTCTGCGCCCCAACCCATGTCTCAAAAAGCACTGAATAATGGCGTCTAATAGATGTCTGGATAACAAGAAATTCTGTGTTATTTAAATGATTGACTAAAAGTTATTTATTAATTTATTCACAAATTTTGAGTATATATTTCTTAATTTAATGAAATAATTATTTTCTAAACGAATAAATTTATTAAACGTTGAATTTAATTGTAATATATTAATATATAAGTATTGATTTGAATAAATAATGTACAAAAGCATTGATTTATATTTAAAATTCATTTTATTGTTAATATAAAATATTAAACAAACATTAATTACAAAATTGTATGTTTTTTGATTAAATCATATTCAAAACACTGGTATTATTAATTAGTATCGATAAGAATAGAAATGGCATTAAAATGGCAATTAATGGTTAACTTTGGCCTCATTTACAAAATGTGATTATGACTAGCAGTGTATGAATTGATTCATTGCTAGTGTTTTAGTTATAATCCATATAATATTTACAGTTTATTCGCCTAAAACATTTAAGACTGCAATCAAAATTGAATTCATGGAAATTAAAACAACAAAATTTAAATATATTAATCATATGATATAACTTTATAATGTATTTGTAATTTTCGACTTCAAATGAGACTGGTGTTTGTAATGGTAACTCACTAATAATAATGTAAATTGATATATTATTTACAAATTACATCTTTTATATATAAATTTATGACAAAAACATTTATATTAAAATCAATATAAATACAAATCTCGTTGAGCTATAAAGGTATTAAAAATCTTCTCAAATAAAAACTCCTGAATCTTACAAATTCTCTATAAAACAGATCTCTTAATAAATTAATATAAAATTCCTTTTTGTTTAAGTTATGAGTTGTGTTTTAGTATTCAATTAAAATTGTCTTAAAATTTGAATATAAAACCTGTGCACCCGATCCTTATTCAGTTCATAATAGGGTCTGCTTTCTAGGGTTGAGTAGAATATTCTCCAATACTAACAACCGATTTAACAATACGTTTGTATAACAACTGATGGCTTAATAATCGTTCAAATAGTGTCTCTCATTGGCATCAGTTGACCACAACTGCAGCCAAATAGTGTATAAGTTAATCATTTTTTGTATAATATTTATATCAAAATCACTTTTAACTCTTATAATCCTAATATGAATAGAGATTCTCATAATTATATTATAATTTATATTATTTTGTAAATAATTTAATAATAGACACGTTTAGGAATGTATGGCAGAGTTAGCGTTGCCTCCGATCGGCATTTTCCTGTTGTTAGGAGTGTTGGGACGACTCGAAGAGCTCGAAGAGTTGTGAAAATTGTTGGGTTCGTGGAAATGAAACACAGAATTGACGTGAGAATTCTGGTTATGCATGGGTTGACCTATATTTGAGAAGCCATTCCTTAAATTAGGGTTCACTGCGGGACTATTGAAGTGATGGATTTGGTGATGATGAGTGTGATTAGCAATGTGACTTAATGGTGGGGTCGGTATGGGAACCGGTGTTGACAACGGATGGTATGAATGAAAATGATTGTTAGGTTGCGTTGAATTATTTGTGCGATTATTGATGAATCCGTTGGTGTGTTGGTGTTGGGGTCCGGAGTGGGCGCTGTGTCCGCTGTTATGACTGCTGTTAGTCGAGTGGAGAGTCATAGTCCTGAGGTGGACGGCCTGCCACGACCGGAGCCGAGTGTGCAGCTCGTGAAACGACGGCCTTTTGTTGGGAATCTCGTGCCAGCACTCAATCATCAGTGAGTATATATGCGGCGGACAGTCCTCAGGACAGGCCAGTAGTTGTCGCGAACGTATCATATCTATGACATCAGTATTTGTGAATCCATAGTACGGCTGAAGACCATAACTGAATATCTCCCACAAGACTACACCGAAAGACCAGACGTCGCTCTCAGTGGTGAACTTCCCATAAAGACAGCTCTCGGGAGGCATCCATCTAATAAAGGGACGGTAAGTGTTAGCTTCCATACACTAACTTATAACATAAGTAGTGAATATTTAAAGGTATCTAATTGTTGTCAATACATACCTAACCGGCAACAGAGACTTAGATTGAACTCTATAATAATCACTGGAGTAGATATCTCTAGAGAGTCCAAAGTCTGATATCTTGACAGTGAGGTGTTCCCCAACCAAACAGTTTCTGGCGGCCAAATCTCTGTGAACAAAGTGATGTCCGGCCAGGTATTCCATTCCGGCAGCGATTTGGGTGGCGATGTGGAGGAAGTCTTGAATTTCGAGGATATGCTGTGAATTATCATCAGACCGTGTGGTGACATCAGATCGGGGCGAATGACAGATGAGGTACTCGTGAAGGTCTCCTTTGGACATGTATTCAAACAACATAGACATCGGTTCCTCTCGAATGCAAACTCCTAACAAACAGACAATATTCGGGTGCTGGAGGTCTGACATGAGCTCTGCCTCGCGCCGGAAGTCTTGCTGTGTTTTTGTGGTGGCGTTCTCTTTGAGTGTCTTAATAGCGATGGGAACGATAGCACCGGCAGTCATGACCAGCTCTCCCCTATAGACTTTGCCAAACGCTCCTTCGCCCAACTCCTGGACGAAGCGAATCGATTGCATCGAGTATTCTGTGACACGATTTGTGGGTTGTCTGCTGTGAGGGAGTAATGCATTCATCTCTAAGTTAGTGTTTCCACGACTTCTTCGAGAGCTGTTTGTGCTGAAGGCAGGACTGGCCAGAGTTCGGGCCGTTTTGGTGCCATTGAGTGACACTATGGGCGACGACGGCTTATTGCGATTGCGGCGCCGAATACAGCAAATGCATAGCAGCAGCAAAAATAATGCCAGCGCTCCGGCAGTCGGTGCGATGTAATACCACATGAAGTATTGATCGACTAATGAAAGGAAAATATAATATAATAATAATATGAATCACAAACCAATATATCATCCATTTGTCAGACAATATTTGCTTTCCATTCACTACTACTCTTCGCTCACACTTTCACATACTTTCACACATTTTTCGGTTGTATTCAGGATTTTGTGAACAGAATTGACAACAAAATTCCATAACAATGGATAACAACACATAGTATTCTGTCATAGATTTTGGCGTCAAATGAAGAATAATTGAGAGAATACTTACAACACTCAGGAATATCGCAATATTCTTTGCGAACTTCAGGGTCCTGTACGAAACACCAGGGTCTCGACTCCATGTTACCAGGGTTTCGGCAATAGTTATGGCCACCCGTCAGCTCGGGGTAATCAGCCGTTCGCAGGAATATCTGATGACTCCAATAACCACATTCCAGACCCGACACAGTGCGCGATGCCGTCCCTCTATAGGTCTCCCCAATCTCTGTATAACACTTATGATCTGAAATACAATTCAAATGATATTTACGTCAAATTCCGTGAGTTTTTGATTTGTTTACGAAAAATCAGAAACAGATTTAAAGCATTAGTGATTGTCTATCACTGGAGATGACATACCGTGCGATACTTGAACTGTATTAGGAATGCCTAATCGGACACAATTCTCGCTCTCCTTGGATCCAATGGGAGGTAACTCTTCACAAGCCGGCAAAATATGTTTCTGACCGATAAGTGGATGCTTTTTGGCAATTGTGTACTCAATCCTACAAATGTTACTCTCGAGTACTTCGCACTCATCGCGACAAACCTGTCAATAATTTACAAACCAAATACTTTTAGAGTTAAGTTCACACATGGAGTACAGTATTTGCAGCATATTGTATGTCATGAAATTATATATTTTTATACTTGTAGCCAATGTTAACTCTTATTGTTTGAGTGCACAGAATTTTTTAAAGCAAATAATTGAATTTAAATCAAACAACTTATACGATATATAAGAGTCTTTTAAAATATACAAGAATGCAAAACACATTTACTGAACCAAACAATTCTCTACTCCCTATGCTTTCAATTATATAAAAACAATCGTATATTGAATTACAATTCATTTATGTAAATGAATTGAAGAAAATCTCTACTCTTTTATATTAAAAACACAGTACTTATGGCTTAGAAGACAAATAAATAAATCTTTTTAGTATTAAATAAACACAACATTTCAACCAAAAGTGAAACAAAGCAGACAATCGAGAAGTTTATGTAAATATTTCTTCTAATTTAAGCGAATATTTCTCTTACATTATTTGCTATCAAAATATAAATTGCTATTAAATCAAAAATTATATTCACTGCTCTAAACTATCATGCACTTGCAGTTTATTTTAATTTAATTTTGATTTGTATTCTACAGTATATTCTTTATCGCAAAGTCTTAAAGAGAAAATCTTAAATAATTGCATCAAAGGATATGTTTCATTAGTAGAATCCAACCCAACGGGAACTCCATTTAAGTTTTCACAAAAAGATTCACTGTTTGTATAAACGCTTGAAAATAGTATTGAATTTAAACGCAGTTACTATGGATTCGCATCAATGCGTGTCTATGGGGGGCATATGTGTGGGTCCGACACATCACTTTCACTGCAGTCTCCTAATGATGGTCTCAGAAATCCTTTTCCTCAACAATCATATACTTGTCTCCAAACATCATATGTATTGAAGTTATAACACATTTCGTGTCTTTCCTTAGAGACAATTTGCTTCTCATATATTTGAGACCGACTTAAATACAATGTACGGAAATATTATGCACTCATCTTCTTGTTTGACACGGAATTACACTTTAAGTCAATGAAAACTTTATATAACAAATGATTTCAGAGAAAAGAAATATAGTCTTAACGATTATTATATCCTATTATGTAATATATTGAGCACTCGGTTAATGCATTTAAGTAGAGTTTTGGGAGAAATGATAAGTTATTTTTAAACATTACGTTATATTATAGAATAAAGTCATTTGATTTAGTATTTGATATAAATATTTAATTTTCAGGGAAACAGTAGTGTTCAGCTCTCGGCTAATGTTTTGCAGGTATTTCTGGAATCTGGTCCGACTCCACATCTGAAGTGAGTATTAAATATTTATGTCTAAGTATTTCTCTCATTATATGTGAGTTATCAATTGAAAACATTTACACAAACATTACATTAAATAATAGTTTCATTTGGCTCTTTATTATTTATGTAACAAAATGTAAATCCTAAACTTGAATAGATTTTAAGATAAAATAATTAAAACCTTATGTAAATAATATAAAAATGAAATGAATGAATACTAAAACAACTGCTTTCCATATTCCCAATGGCAATTCTGTAGGGGAATGGCATCTTTCTGACCCTTATAAATTTCTAGTAACTTATTTATGTAGTCATAATAATGAATTATAGTATTCATTTAGAAATAAGTCTACATTTCAAGTCTGTATTTCATATGATTTCCTGTACTTTCTGATTGAAATGGTTTAATATATGATCATAAAAATAATGCAACAGTAAATGTAAGTGTTTTGCACTCATTTATAATCTCGTAATTTCTTATAAAAATATTCTTATGAATTATTGGATTAAATAAATCAAAGACTGCAGACCTGTCTGGGCGTGGGTTCAGCCGCATTGTCCTCACATAAGGGGAACGCGAAGAAACATAAGGAAGAGATGGCATATCGATGGCACTGAAGGGAGACGTCATGGGATGTGGCGATCACTGTGAAGGCTTTGGCCAACTTCTCCTCCATGAAGCCCTGGCTGGTCATCGATCGCACGTAAATCGTACGGTTCTGTATGAACTGAGAACAGGTGACCCCCCGATACACCTGACAGAAGCCTTCGCCACTCTCCATAGGCTTCTCATCGCTAACACTCGGAAGGCTTTAAAACAAAAAACACAATCAAAGTTAGCGTTTGTTTAATCATTCGTAAGATTTATATTAATCGTCTGCAATCTCGCAATCAATTCGGTGCCCAATAATAATAACATTAAATATATTCAACGGCTTAACCAACGAAATAATTCTGAATTAGCAAAGAATTAAAGGATTAATGGTTTCTGTAATTCTCATCGTTTTTTGTGCCAAATTAGATTAAAAGTTAGGTTGGATTAAATGTTGGTGTTTTGTTTGTCAATGTGTTTTATTGCAATTTAGTACAATAGCTAATTTGCAGATTTTCGGTTAGGAAATGTATTTTCAATGTTATGCTAATTATGTGCTAAAATATCAGACAATAGTGAAATTTATTGCCACAACAGTGTATACAATACAAAAGTATTTTCAGTAAGTTTTGACCGCAAACTCTTGTATTTAGCCGATAGTTATATTCTAATTCATGAATACATTAAAGGTATTCATTAATCTTACAAAACACCCAACACTTGGAGCCCATACTCTCAATATTGTTCTGACAGAAGCCTTCGCCACTCTCCATAGGCTTCTCATCGCTAACACTCGGAAGGCTTTAAAACAAAAAACACAATCAAAGTTAGCGTTTGTTTAATCATTCGTAAGATTTATATTAATCGTCTGCAATATCGCAATCAATTCGGTGCCCAATAGTAATAACATTAAATATATTCAACGGCTTAACGAACGAAATAATTCTGAATTAGCAAAGAATTAAAGGATTAATGGTTTCTGTAATTCATTAGATTAAAAGTTAGGTTGGATTAAATGTTGGTGTTTTGTTTGTCAATGTGTTTTATTGCAATTTGGTACAATATCTAATTTGCAGATTTTCGGTTAGGAAATGTATTTTCAATGTTATGCTAATTATGTGCTAAAATATCAGACAATAGTGAAATTTATTGCCACAACAGTGTACACAATACAAAAGTATATGCAGTAAGTTTTGACCGCAAACTCTTGTATTTAGCCGATAGTTATATTCTAATTCATGAATACATTAAAGGTATTCATTAATCTTACAAAACACCCAACACTTGGAGCCCATACTCTCAATATTGTTCATCAATCGCGTGATAAAAGTAAAGTAGAAATAATGCCCCAAACAATCAAACAGTTACTGTATGTTAATCTATGGCTGCATTTTATGCATTAATTCCAACACTTGGAGCCCATACTCTCAATATTGTTCATCAATCGCGTGATAAAAGTAAAGTAGAAATAATGCCCCAAACAATCAAACAGTTACTGTATGTTAATCTATGGCTGCATTTTATGCATTAATATCTATACAACACTCAAATTTATGCACTTTTCCTAACCGTAGTTGCATTTCATATAACAATTGAATCACTTTATCAATGCATTGAACGCTATTCCCATTACATGTTATGTGTCATTCGGACTACATTTAGGACATCAAATAGCTATTGCATAGGAAATTAACGTTCAGTTTCTATATTAAAGGATTTAGAAAACGAGTCAAACATTTGGAGTAAAGAATTGACATAAAGAGTGACTAAACACTCAATAAAGCAAAGGTGTGTAGCGTTTGGCATATATTTGAACGATTAGCTAATTATAAGTATTATAAGTATTGCTCCAAACGAGAGCTAACTGTAAGAGAGAAACACTGATAGAGAGCTTAAGGCAAACCTTATGTTCTTCGCGTGAATTAATGATTGCAACTCATAATC